CCCCCCCCCCCCTTTCAGCATCTCAAGGCTGTTTCATTGTTTCTGTGGTTGATGCTGTTTGGGCTTGTTTAGATTTTATTTTTAGTTTCTGAAATGTTGGTGGCTGTCCCCCACTTTAAGTGAGATTTGGATGCAAGAGCACCAGTAACCCTATTTTGATTCATAGCGACTGAAGATTTCTTTAGAATTGAGTAACAGCTCAATGGTTCAGGATGAAAGAGAAACTTCACAACTCAACAGTGGCCTTTTTCATGACAATTTTGAGATAGCTAACACAGCACTGTCCATGTTCTGCTGACATATCAGTTCTTTAAAGACAAGGTTTACACCCATCCCAAAACATACTGTCCTCTTAAGCACAGCTCATTAAAAAAAAATCACCAGTAGTTAGATGGGACCCTATGTTAATACAATGGATGTGCCATGATTTGTCATCTTGCTACCTCTGAGGAACCACAGCAGAAACACCACAAATAATGCAGGGTTGTCTCAGGGCATTTTGAAGCAGAACAGCAAATGGCCCAGCCTACCCACCCAAGCAAAACTTGAAAAATTATTCTGAAGACTAAATTATTCTAAAGCCATCCATAACTGAGCAATATTGGGATGATCCTTTGGAATCTGACACATCATCTTAACACTATTCGATTATATATAACTCCACTATGTCATTGCAAACATTGTTCTTCAAAGTAACTTTCCAAGCTTTGCACCCAAGCTAAGGTGGATAGCATCCAAAGCTAAAGAGTTTACATTGACAAGCAATGTAGAAATTCTCACAAGTATCTCTCCCAATCCCTATCAATAAGAAAATACAATGATAACAAAATGAAGAACTAATAATTTCCTGTCTTTTCATGATGCCCAAAATTGCTGCCTGAGACAACTGTCTGCCTCTGCCTAATGGCAAGATGGGCTCTTGTACAGTAAAAGGCAATCTATTACTTTTGTAAACAATGGGGAGTATCCTTTTAAGCAGGGGTGAAGAACACAATGACCATGGATTGCATATGGCTCTAGGATGTTGCTTAAGCCCCAAGGGGGAAATGCTTTCAAGCTATTTCTGACTTATGGTGAACCTATCACAAGGGTTTCTTTGCAAGGTTTGTTCAGAAGGTTTTTGCCTTTGTCATCCTCTGAGGCTGACAGAGTATGATTTACCCAAAGTTACCCAGTGAGTTCAATAGTCAAGTGGAGATCTGAACCCTGATCTCCAGAGTCATGGTTCAGACCACTAGATGCTGGCTCCTAGACTCCTCCCAAGTTGAGGTGGTGTTTCTTGACCCCAGATAGTGTCAAGACACTCAATAACACAAAATGCACTAGTTAGGCTTTCCAACTCCAAAACCTGATGTTATTTCAGGAAGAAAAAAATGCCCTCAAATTGGTAAAAAATGAAAGCAGAAGTGATGTCATGTTATTCTTGGCTTTTTGTGTGGTTGTCTCACTGGTGTCTGTGTGTGTGTGTGTGTGAACATTGGCCTCTGCTCCACAGCAGTTGCTTGCCTGTAGTATACAGATGACTGCTGAGCACACATTGCCTGGAACAAAAGGTCTTCCAGATGACTTACTGGTTTGCATTCACTTCTCATAGCAACTTACAATGCCTTGTGAAGCAGTTGCTATGCAAAAAGTATAAGTGGATGTTTTGCATATAGGGTATGAGGCAATTTTAGTTTTGAAATTTTCAAACTAAAAATAAAGAAGTTCCTGTGCAATAATTAATTTATTAATTTATTAAGTATCAATTAGTTATTATTCTTATTCTTATTCTTCTTCTTCTTCTTCTTCTTCTTATTATTATTATTAATCAAATTAATCTCTCCTTAAGACACACCCAAAACTCTTATTTATGGAATAATTCACTCCCCTTCCATGAGCAGTAAGGGATTTTTAGGGCCTGTACACACTGCCAGAAATAATCCATCTTGAGGCCACTTTAACTGCCCTGGCTCAGTGCTAGGGAATCATGGGAACTGTAGTTTAGTGTGGCACCAGAACTCTCTGACAGAGAAGGCTCAATGTCTCAGAAAAAAAACACCCTACAGTTCCCATGATTCCCTAGCATTGAGCCAGGGCAGTTAAAATGGCCTCAAACTGGATTATTTCTGGCAGTCTGTACAGGCCCTTAGACATCTTCCCCAATCTTCCATCAGTTGTGTCACACTATCCCCAGCCAGATTAGACTTGGAAACTTCCTCCTAGAGCTACTATAAAACAATATTATTTTTACATTTGCAAAAAAATAAAAAAAATAAAAAATGGGTGGTGGTGATATTACAGGTTAAAGAGGCATTTTGGAACAGTTATTGGTAGGCACTTAACATCTCTAGGCAGTTTCCAAAGCTTCAGCACTCTAGCAGGGCTCACAGTTGTACAAACCCCTTCCCTGGGGTCCTCAGACCGGTTTGGGAGTACTGTTTTAGAAACCCCAGAATGCCTTGTGCAAGATTAGTGGACCTTATGGGAAAACTAAAATGACAGGGTCAAACTGTCTGAGAGCTGCCAGCAGGGCCTCTTCAAA